GTGTGTGTGTTTTTTTTGTTTTTTTTTCCTTTTCCCGCCGCAGACAAATTTGAGTTTCTGTTGAAATATCAAAAGCTGAAATACTCTGATCTGGAAATGCCTCTGTGGTGTCTGATGGGAATTATAGCTTAGAGATTAATGGAGATATCCTATCTCCTAGAACTGGAAGGGACCTTGAAAGGTCATCAAGTCCAGCCCTCTGCCTTCACTAGCAGGACCAAGTACTGATTTTGCCCCAGATCCCCAAGTGGCCCCCTCAAGGATTGAACTCACCACCCTGGGTTTAGCAGGCCAATGCTCAAACCACTGAGCTATCCTTGCCCCCCAGAGCTTGGCTCTGCATGCTCCCCTTTCTCCCCATAAATCAGTTCTGGTCAGACTGCAGCTCCCATGATGCACCACAGAGGAGGGAGATGATGCATCATGGGACTCCATGGCTGTGGGGCATCATGGGGCTTGTAGTTTGTGTGCCTGGCGTCAGGCAGAGCTGCCGCGGTGGCTCATGGGAGTTGTAGTTTCACACTGGCTAGTGGCGTCGCTCTGTTACATGAAGTTGCTGTGGTGGAAACTGCAGTCGCTAGGTGGAGACAGGGCCCCATAAACTGTGGCTGACCCCAGCCTTGTCCTCCCTGTGCAGATGGCCATCACCTTCCACAACCAGAGAGTCATGGACAGGGCCAGCGCAGACCACGCTCTCTTTCTGAAGGAGAAGGTGAGTTTTGCGGGGAGGGCTCTGTCCAAGCCAGGGGAACCCCAGGGAACCATCCCAGTGAACACTACTGACTGTGGACTTGGGGGTAGGAGATGGGATCTTGTGTCTCCAGCTCCCAGGGTGGCTATAGAGATGAGAGGCTCAAACTCCTGCACTGGAGTTGTGGGGCGGGCGGGGGGGAGGTAGATAAGTTTGCCTGTGGCCAGCTGCAGTAGTGGAGGTGTGATGGCCCAGGTGGTTAATGGACTGGACCAGGACTAGGAACTCCTGGGTTTTGTCCACTGCAATGCCGCAGACTCCCCTGGGTGAGTCACGGAGTCTCTCTCTCTCTCTCTCTCTGGGCCTCAGTTTCCCCATCTAGCAAAGGGGGAGAATGATCCTACCTTTGGGGGTTTTAACCTGTGAGCTTTTTGGGGCAGGGACGGTCTCTCACTGAGTTTGTGGGCTGGGCCCGGTGCAAGGGGGTCCCCATCTCAGTCCTGGATTGTGTCCTGCTCGGCGCGGGGGGGGGCACCCATCTCGGTCAGGGGTGTGTGGAATCTGCAGCACTTGCCCCTTCTTACGCCCTTGGCCGTCTCCTCTCCCGGCGGGCGCAGGACGGCGACTCCCAGAACCCAATCACCTGCCTGAAGGTGCGGCCGAGCAAGATGGCGAAGTTGTTGGCGGAGCGGCGCGGGCAGTTGCTGTGGCGGTGCTGGACGGACATGCCGGAGCCGGCGCCGGAGACAGAGGCCCGGCTGACGGAGCTTGAGGAGGACCTGAGGCGGGAGGCTGAGACCTTCCTGGAGATCTACGGGAAGCGCTTCAAGAAATTCGCTATTTGGGCAGGTGCGGGCACGGGGGCGCTGGTCCTGGGACCAGTGGGCGGAGCTGCCGGTGCCGGGATCGCCGGTGCTGTCCTCGCTGCCGAGGCGGCTGGGGCGCTTGCCGTGGCCGAGGTGCTGGCCATTGGGGTTGGGGCAGGTACTGCAGCCGGGATCTGCGTGGGTGGGGGCGTGGGCGGGGGTGTGGGGGGGAACATCGCCCAGAAGGATCAGCAGAGGGCTGAGGCTGCTGGCGACGGAACTGATGATCCATCCGATGACAAACCGCTGATCTGATCGATGCCCCCCCCCACACCAATCTGGGGCTGACGAATGGGGTGAGGGGGCTGCAGCGTGGCCTAGACATGAATCCCACAAACCACCCCAGAGCGGGGAGCCAACACCCACAGATTCTAAGAAGGGACATTTAGATCCTCTCGTCTCCAGCCTGGGTGGCACAGCAGGTCAGAACGCCACCCACTTCCCCCTGCGTTGGGCCCAGTATCTCCCTTTGGACTAAATCCTCTCCCGCAAGGGCGGCCAGTCTGGCTCGGAATCAGGAAAAAATGGAGACCCCACCGCTTTGCCAGTGGTGAAAAATCCGGTGACTCGTTTCCGATTGGAGTTTGTCTGGCTTTAACTTCCAGCCCTCGGTTCTCGCTCTGCCTTCCTCCGACGTTGCAGGACCACTCCGGCTGCAACGCGAAACGCTTGGAAACGCCCGGCCGCTGGTCATGTCCCGAGATCGCCCGCTGCGGGTGACAACGGGCACCTGGCTGAGTTCCAATGTCGGCAGTCCTGTGGTCTGGTCCTGGGAGATAGATCTCCAACCACCCCTCTGAGCGGGAAGGCGGGTCCAGGGGGGAGGGCACAGGAAGACCCTGTGGGTTCCCTGCTCTACCAGGGACTTCCTCTGTGACCTTGGCCAAGTCCCTTAGTTTCTCCATGCCTCAGTTTCCCATCTGTATAATGAGGGTAATAATGCATTGAAAGATGGTGAGGGGTTTGAGCTCTACTGAGAGAAAGCGCTATCCAAGAAACCGGCATCGTTATTTATTCCGGGGGAGGGCTATAAAACCATCCGAAGCTAAAGGGAATCGGTTCCACACCCATCAATGCACGCCGAGCAGGGAACACCGTCTGGCCAACTCCACAGGAAGTCTCAGCTCCCACCCTTCAGCGCTGGTGAAAGGGCAGGACTTGGGCTTGGGGATTTCCAATCAATGGGGTCTCGGGCTAACGGGACTCTCCAGCTTTCCACGCCAGCCTCCGCTGGCACCTACTATCCGATAGACGCTCTAGCGTGAGATACGGGGTCCGCTTCATCCTGGCCTGGGCTTGGTGAATCAGGAGCGCCCCTTCCCATCACAGATTCCAAGGCCTGGGTAACACAGACATGACCCTGCCCTGAATTAATTCCTGCTTGAACTAGAGCGATCTGTTAGAGAAACTTCCCATCTCGATTTAAAAATGGCCGGTGATGGAGAATCTGCCACGACCCTCGGGGAATTGTTTCAATTGTTGTCACTGGTAAAAATTTCTGCCTGACTTCCAGTCTGAGTTTAGTGTAGCTTCAACGTCCAGCCATTGGATCATGTTAGACCTTTCTGTGCTACACTGAAGGACCTATTGTCAAATATTTGTTCCCCAGGTGGGTACGTATGGACTGGGATCTAGTCACCCTTTAACCTGCTCTTTGAGTCCTATCTCCCTAAGAACTCCTTGGAAACCTGATATCAGGGCTGCGGGTTTTCAGAGGCTGCACCTCTCGGGACAGAGCAAGAGAAAGCAGAAGTCACTTGAGACTACGGACTGCAAAGTGGTTCTGCTGGAAGGTGGCCAGTCAACAGGTCCTGGGTGCAGGACAGTCTCAGAGCAATGGAGGCATTTAAGCAATTTCCTTTGTGCGCAACAGGAGGAAAGGTATTTGGGGTACTGTTAGGGTGTCATGTACAGATGAAAAACAGGAGGACTTGTGGCACCTTAGAGACTAACAAATTTATTAGAGCATAAGCTTTCGTGGACTACAGCCCACTTCTTACAGATGAGTGCGTGTGTGTGTCTGTGAGCACCTGTAAATAACCGCCCTGGGTAGTGCTAAAGAGAAATCTCCCAGATGTAAATAACGGTGAAGTTCTGACTCATCAAACCTTGAAGGGTGAATTCCTAGTTTTGGGACAAGTCTCCACAGAAACTGCCAGCTCTAATTCGGTTAGAGGAAGATACAGCTGCTGCTTATAGGAAGTGCTTTGTTAACGTGTGTATTCATGTGGTTGCGGGGGGGGAGGGGCGGACACAGAAGGGGAAACAGATTAGCCATTAAACGAACAGGAGTACTTGTGGCACCTTAGAGACTAACACATTTATTTGAGCATAAGCTTTCATGGGCTACAGCCCACTTCATCGGATGCATAGAATGGAACATATAGTGAGGAGATCTATAAACATACAGAGAACATGAAAAGGTGGGAGTTGTCCTACCAACTCTAAGAGGCTAATTAATTAAGATGAGCTATTGTCAGCAGGAGAAAATAACCTTTGTAGTGATCATCAAGATAGCCCATTTAAGACAGTTTGAGAAGAAGGTGTGAGGATACTTAACATGGGGAAATAGATTCAAGGAAATGCGGTGATGAAAACTGGAAATAGGATGCGAGCCGAAGCCTCACCAGCGCTGAGAAGAGCGGGACAATTACCTCCCATGTCTCACATACGACCTTCCAGTTAATACACCCCAGGTGACATTTCTCTTTCTCTTACATCCCCACCACACTCTTGTCTTTGGTGATTAGACTCCGTTGATGACTTGATTCTAATATTGCTGCTGTTAATTTGATTACTTGATCTTATTTTCACCTCCACTGGAGAATGGCCGAGTCCGTTGGGTAGAGTTTGTACTGGCTTGGTCTTAGCGATCTGTTTTCTTGATTTTGTATTCAGGGTTGTTGTTTTACTTGTAACAAAATGGCTAGAAAGCACACTGGGTCATTTTGTTCTTTCAATCAGCAACTTGGGCCGGAACCATAGAGAATCTTTGTCTGAAACCAGCCAAGCCACTTGGGAAAGCCATTAGCTTCCCCTAAACTAACTGTGGTTCTCATAGGGGTCTGGTGCCTGGCATGAGAGAACCCTGATCCCAGCTGCAGAGGAAACCCTAAGGCCAAACAGCGCCTCATAACCTTAACCCCCGACTGGGTATGTGTCACTTAAATCAATTCCCTGCCTTTGCAGGGGCCGTGGTCATGGTGCAGCTCAGCTCTCCTGTTCTCTGCCTGTGGCACATGACAGTCAGTCTCCTGAGGGCTGTAATGCTTGGGTCTAATTCCAGCTGTTGGCTTGGTGTGGGGGTGGCTGGGGGATGTTGGGGGGGCGGGGGAGAGGGGGAAGCTGTGATATACAGCTCAGAGTAGCTGGTCTGGCCATGAACCCTAACCTAAGCAGCCCCCATATCTAACCCATAAATCTAACCCTCACCTTTAACCCTACCTCTAACATCCACCCTCCAACCCTGGCACTAACCCTTTGTCTAATGTCTAATCCCTGCCTTTGCCCCAACCTCTAAAAAGGCACCCAGCTCTCGGAGCGGAAGGTGGGGAAGTTTGGGATGGTCCTTAGATCCTGGGGGAGGTCATTCCACCATCTGGACCAGGCCCCGGAGCAACGTCTGTCTCCCGCACTGATGAGCTTCAGCCTTATTGTAGAGAACTCCACTGGGCCAGCAAGTCAACCATGTCTTCATCCTGGATCTCTCAGCTCTTTCAGACCCAGTGGACCCAGTGCATGAAGTGCCTTGAAGATAAGGCTGAGACCATGAACTTGATTCAATATTGTAGCACAGATGTGGGCATATGGCCCCTGTGTCCGGCCTTCTTCTCAATATTTCACCGAAGGGGGTCATGTGTGGGCTCTGCCGAATGCTGGGAAGCAGCCGCTTGTCACGGTTATTGACAGATGTTTATATGAGCAACGGTTTTAGAGCCAGGTCCCAGGTAGGATATTGAGTTTTGAATCTTCTGGGAGTCAAACCTGAGGCAGGGGGAGGCTGGGAGCCAACCCGGTCAATGTGAGAACAATGCACGTCCGTGGAGGCAGCCGCTGTTTGCTGGCTGGACGAGATGCAGGCTGGCCATCTACAGAGACAAACCGACCCCAAGGGAATGCTCAGGCGAGGGGGCCCCTGGGCTCAGAGACAATAGCTTGTGACTGGATAAGCGCAGAAGAAATGGCCCATTACAGGAGAGTGACTTTGCCATCAGGGGGAACAAGGGATCCCAGTTCTCTGGACTGGACAAGCGCTGTGAGAACCAAGCAGCGGGAGAGAGACACCTCAGCAGACAGGAAAGGAACCTGTTAGCAAGGACGGGCTCTAGACGGCATCTGATGTTTTCCTTTTACCTGTCACCTCAGGTTTCCAAAGCCTGTTCCTTGCTTTTTATTTGAATCTCTATCTGAGGCTCTGTTACATGAATTTCAATTTATCTGATTGTAAACCTGTAAGGGACAGGGGGACTGTCATGAATAGGGGGAAGAGGTAGCAACCTTTATGTATCCTTGGCAGGGCTGGCTCTAGGTTTTTTGCTGCCCCAAGCAAAAAAAATGTTGGCTCTCTCCCACCACCTGCACTCCCCTGCCACCCCAGCCCTGGGCTCTC